CCCACACATTCTAGGTCCACAAGTGCAGTGAGCAAAACCACCCTCGCCAGGACACCGTCTTGGTGACGACAATCTTGTGGCCCACTGCGATGAAGGAGGCCGCTCGGGCAGCCCACTCACTAGCCTTGGTTGCCGGTCGCTGGCTTAATAGAGGACAATGCACCCAGGGAATTGTCATGCACTGCATCCAGGCTTAGCCCTGGCTTCGTGAGGCCATGGCACAGCCACCATGTGGTTAGAGGGCAGGTCTGGATGCAGAGAGAGGCTGGCCTTGAAGCCCAGCACCCCCTCCTAGCCTGGGGTCTGCTTCCGCAGAGATCAGAGCTCATTCAACTGATCAAAAAGAACCACCCATAGGCAGGGCGTCCCGTCTTTGGGTCTTTGTGTCTGAGCAGCGAGTCCTGGGCTCAAGAGGGGCACAGTGAGACCTGCTTTCTCTTCCCAGGGCTGCTGCTTGCGGGAGAAACTCTGGCAGGCCAGCGCCCTGAGCCAGTGACATTTACATGTGTCAAGGTCTCGTTCTGGGCGGCTCTGGGATTTCTCCCTCCGCGCTGTTGCTGCCCCACACGGCGGGGGGAAGGGCAGGCTGTGCTTCCGGCAGGTTATAAATCCATGCCATTGCTAAATGGGCCAAAAAAAATGACAGCCAGGTTCAGTCCCTCCTGGCCAAATATAACTGGCTTTCCCTCGCTGCCTGGAAAGAGCGTAATTTGCACTGCGCAGATTTGTCTAATTGCTCTGCTTTTGCTCGAATGCACCAGGAGTTTTAATTTCCTCTTTCTGGTTAACTGCGGTGCATCTGGAGCTTTAAACACTCAGCCCCCATGTGACTCCCTCGCGGACAGGTGGCTGCATCGCACACCAGGTTTATTCCCTACAAACTACCTCTAACAAGCACTGGAATATCTGGGGAGGTGGTCAGACCCTCTACCTTGGAGCTTGGATGAACACCTGTCAGGGATGAAGGGGGGTGGAAACTATGGCCCGGGGGTGGATCCAGCCCAAAGCTTGCCTGGATCTGGCCTCCGAGGCTTGGGGCTCCTCCACCCAGTGTCAGTGAACCGGCATTGGTACTCCATCCCTGTGGTCCCTTTGCCCCTAGCCTGCTGCTACACCTCCACTTTGCTCCTGCACCCTACCTCCTGCCCCTCACTGACACGGCCCTCGATTGAGAAGCAGAAGGACACACCCCCATTCCCCTCACACAGTAGAGCCTGGGGGGGGTCTGGGCTAGTAGATTTTGTGGGCTCCCCTAGGCTCTGCTGTGTGAGGGGAATGTGGGGCCACATTCTTTCTGCTTCCCAGTCGGGGGCCATCTCAGTGAGGTGGGAGGGGGTTTGTTTGCTTTTTGCTTCTCACTTGTGCACGTCCATGGACCTCGGCGCTGGGACACCACAACGTCCTGGGCAGGTGCTAGGTCCCAATCGACCTAGGCTGCAAGCAGAGTTCAGATGGCTGCAGCACGTCCGACTTCCTCCATCGGGGGGGTCTCCATGCCTCCTGCGTGACGTCCACGTCTTCCTCACGGACGCAAAAGCCCTTCTGTGCTGAGCCAGTTAGGTCATGTAACTTAGAACTGTTAAGAATATAATCCTATGTAGCCAGAAACAGCCCCCCTTCTGTGCCTCAGGGCATGCTCAGGCTTGTGCAAGGGGCTGCTTGAAATAACTTTGTATTAGAACCCTATATAGAAAACTTGTAGCAGAATAAGATTTTCCCCCACTCTCTTCCCCCCACTCTGTAATTAATTGCCCTGTTGAATGAATGAGGTGTGAATGAGTAAGACTTGGGAGCCAAGCACCTCCAGACAGCTACAGGAGTTGAAGAGGGGGTGGAAGCCAGACCCAAGGTGTCAAGTGGGCTGAAGAAAGAAGAGCAGACATACTGACTGCCTTGGGGATTAGAAGCAGGCACCTTCTTTTGAAAACACCCTCTCTGCAGCACAAAGGGACCAACGGACACAGACCCAGAGTTTGAATCTGGGATATATATTTGCATATGAGAGGGATGCTATAAAAGTGAGGTGTCTTGCAGAGGACCCCGGGTTTCGTCTTGTCACCATCGGAGCATCGATCCGGATCGGCAGAAGCCCGGCTCCACCCCTCCCCCATCTAACTCACCTGGCCAGTGCAGTTAAGGGGAGCAACTTGTTGGTAACAACAGCAAGACGGAGTGTGCTTGTGTGTGTGTGTGTGAGTGCATGAGTGACTTATATATATATATATATCATATGCATATGATAACTGTTAATTATTCTATGTGTGATCAATAAATGTGGCGTGTTGCCTTCTCCCCCTGAAAAAGATCCTGAGTACTTCTTTTAAGTACAAGACAGGGGGCAGGACTGGATGATCTCCCAAGGTGTCTTCCAGCCCTACATCTCTATGATTTGATGATCACCCCGTCTCTTGTTTTTGCTAGACAAGATGGTTAATTTTGGCTAGAGAATTAGCCCATTCTGATCCAAACAGCCTCAACATTGCGTGCGTGCACGTGCGAGAGAGAGATTTAGCTCAGGTGTTCCCGCACAGATTCAAAAGCCAATATGATGCTGTGTGATTTCTGGTGCAACACAATGATGAGCCTGCGGAACTCATTGCCACAGCGGGTCATTGAGCTCAAGCAGTTTACAGGATCCCAAAGAGGAAGCTAGATGGTCTGGGTACATTTAATCCTGCCACAGAGCACAGGGATGGGCTCAACAACTTCCCGAGGTCCCTTCCAGCCCCACCTGTCCATGATTTATATGGCTAATGAGACCACACAGAGGTATGATAGCTTGTACTCGACATCGAGAGCTTGGAAGGGCTATAAACCTTTCAAAGGCAGCACATTAATCAGCCGCTAACAACTGTGGGAAAAGAGGAAATTTCTGTGGGGGAAGGTTATTGCTACAGCAGGGCTCTTGCTCTTTTCTCTGGAGCAGCTGGCAAAAGACACTTGGCTAGATAGGCCTTGGATCTCTCTAGCACGCACAGAAAAATGGAAGCTCAGCAGTGTTCCTTCTAATTTTTTCCCCATCGATGTGTGGAATAAATTTTGTTCTGTGCACCAACACAGGTGCAGATGTGCACCACTAATATAATTATGTGTTGCCTGCTGTGGGTGCTCTGCTAATCAGCTGGGCAACATTAGAATCTCTCCTGGCTGGCCGCCCAAGCGCTCAGCCTACGGGGAACACTGGTGCTCAGCATCCCCAGTGACAGCTATTCAGCTGTTTGATGGTGGGAAGATGCTTGGAAGAGGGCAGAGAACAATGAGCAAGGGGAAGGGATCTTGGGGGAGATGTTAGAGCCAGAGCAGGCAGAGACACAGTGAGGGCGGAGCCTCAAGGGTGGGGGTGGCGCTTGAGGGGAGGGACGGAGCAAGAGCAGGGCCTTGGAGGAGGAGAGGGGCTCCAGGTGGAGTACCCATGGGGGGGAAATAAACATCAGTCCCTATGCTCAGATCTGATCCAGTCTAGCAGCTCCTATGGGCAATCTCAGGGTGAATGTCACATGTTACTGGCCTGATTCCCCAACAGCATTCATGGAGGTGAAGGCAAGCTGGGAGTTCACAGAACCTTTAAATCCCCAGGCCAAACTCCGCAAGCATTCATGGCCTGGGCTTCAGAGGACACAATGAAACAGTGCCCAGGTCTGACAGGCCCAAGGATCGTCACATTCTGAGACATGTTTGGAATGTCAGCATCAACCACACCGGGGACCACATGCCTGATCTGCATGGGACAGCGACCTGAGGCTCAGAGAAACTATGTGACTTGGCCAAGGTCACACAAGGAGCCTGTGGCAGAGCCAGGAAGAGAACCCTTGTCATTTTAAATGCTGGTTCTGAAGCAGAGACAACAGCTGTGATTCAGGACAAGAAAAACGTCGATACACGTCACCGACGAACCAATCAGGACACAGCGTTGCTGCATCTCCTGTCCATCCAGCTTAGAGGGGAATCATTTTGACCTTCTCTGCAGCCAATCATGCGACAGAGGAGCTCTGATTGGTTAAGGGTGCCCAGAAGAAGTCTTGGAGTATTGATGTAATGCAATATTAAAGTGGGTTAAAACCGCCAGCCCTTCTAGCAGCCAAGATCCAAGTACAGAGGCAAAGAGCAAAGGTATTTAGAGGCTTTGTATAGATTACTTTGGGGGAGGGGGGGCAGATACATATTACAGAGGGGACCTGGAGGCCAGGGTCACTCAGCGTTCCAGTGGAGCTGCGTCATCTCTTGGTGGATGGCGCTGAACTTGGGGCGCAGGCTGGGACTGGTCTCCCAGCACCTCAGCATCACGTCGTAAACCTCCACCGGGCAGCGCTCAGGCGCTCGCATGCGGAAACCTGCCAAAGTAAGAGGGCTGGAGCTAACTCTATGGAAACAGGACCGGGGGGACATTATTATGGTCTGTATTGCAGCTCAGGAGCCAGCTGAGAACAGGGTGCTAGGTGCTGTATGACACTCAGTGAGGGACCATCCCAAGGACCGTACTACTGAAAGCCAGGTCTCTCATCTGCATTGTACCAGTAGGGAACTGAGAGACTAAATGACATGGCCAAGGTCACACAAGGAGTCTGTGGCAGAGAGGAGAACTGAACCTGGTCTCCTGAGCCGTAAGCACATGTCCAGCCCCACCTCCTTCGCTCAGGGATCAACTTGTGCCATGAACAACGCCCACTCTTGCATGACTTGCCTCGCTCCACCTGGCTCACCACCTGCTGGTTCGACATGCCGGGGTAGGGGGCGGCCCCCAAACTGAAGATTTCCCACAGCAGGACCCCGTAGCTCCAGACGTCGCTCTCCGTCGAGTAGCGGCCTGCCACCAACCCACACGGGGCACGTTAGTGAAAGGGGCCTGTGATCCCGTACGACCCTTTGTCATGTAATCAGCCGGGTTATCCGGCAGACTGGAGTAGCCACCGATGCATCCCCCGAATACATGACACCCCAGGGGCACGGTCCTGATACCAATGCTTCCAGAACCACGTGGGCCTGCCCCGTCCTGGGGGATCCAGCCTTCCCAGCAAGGTCACACTGCAAGGGGGTGGGGGAATCAGCACGCTCTTCATCAGAGCATCCTCTCTGTCTCCAGGTGACGCCAGACAACACCCGGAGAAAAAACGCTACTGTCCCCTCAAGCCCCAGTAGGGGGCGTATTGTTGGCCTGGAGCAGCCTTCCTGCCCCAGACCTTCCTGGAACTGGGCCCCTGACCGTATCGCAGAGCCTCCGGCGCCGTCCACTTGATGGGAATGTGCTTCATTCCTCCCCGGGAGGCATAGACGCCGTTGGCCTCCTGCCGCGACATGCCAAAGTCGCTGATCTTCAGCACGTTGCCTTCCCCCACCAGGCAGTTCCTGGCCGCCAGGTCCCTGCGGGGAAAGGACGGAGGGTAAGATGCACCCCAGTGCCGTCTGGATACTCCCAGGAGGCAGCAGGGAGGAGGGACTGGCAGGGGAGCCAGGCATGAAATTTGGGCGCAGGACTTGGGTCACCGTTTGGGGCAACTGGGATGTGCCGTTTGTTGGCCCTGGGTGCCAGTCTTGCTGTTAAAGAGCACTCAGCAGGTGCAGCATGGGTGGGTCTCATCCGTACCTGTGGATGCAACCCTTGCTCTCCAGATAGGCCATCCCTGCTGCCGCCTGAACTGCGAAGTGGATGAAGTCTTGAACCCAGAGCCGGCTCCCTTCGGAGCGGAGGAATGATAAGAAATCCCCACCTAGAGCGGGCGGGGGGAGGAGGAAGAGAATAAAAAACACCCCAGGGGTGCAGTCCTGGATGAGAAAAGTACCCGTCCAGGTTGAACCTGTCTAGTCTGGCACCCTCAGCACCGGACGGGTGCCAAATCAGAGAATCTGCCCAACCCCAGGAGGTTAATAGTGTCACGAGTGGGTCTCTTTTCATTTTTGTTCTGCTGGAGAGAACACATGGAACAATGCAATGCTGCTTCGTTGTGTTTGGAGAGCCCTGAAAATCTGCAGATATCTGCTTTATATCCCTGGGGAGAGGTGGATGCAGATAACTGTGATTTTGCAGATGCCGATACAAAATGTTGTATCCATGCAGGGCTCTGAATGTATGACTATCGATCCACCATATACAAGTCTACATCTAGCCCAGGCTGATCAGCTCTCTTCAAGTGTTAGTCTTGTGATCACATTTTACTGTAAGGATGTGAGTAGATAAAGCAGGCTGAGCAGCAGGCCCAACACTTTCCCTGCTTGCTGGGCTTTGAGAAGACATTTAGGAGTAAGTTAGAGCTAAAGAACAGCACAGAACTCTGAGAGCTAGGACTGGGGGCTATGGGGCAGTGGAAAATCTGTCCATCCCCGTGATAAGCGGACGTGAGGGTATCTAATACCATGCCGGACTATGGATGTTGCTGGACCAGAGAGTGCAGGACTAGAGAGGTTCAACTCGTACTTCCAGAACTGCATGAGCCTGCCCCCACCTGGGGGATACTGTCTCCCCCCGTGAGGCTGCACCAGGGAGGGCAGATTAGCATCCTCTGCGTGCCCATGCCCCAGCTGGTCCTTGCCCCTCGTTCCAACTATCCAGCTAAGGCTGGATTTAAACCTGCAGCTTCAAGCTCTAACACCCGTCGCTAGGTTTTGCACTGTCAATAGGGCATGGGCGCACGTCAGGCTGAGACCACGAGGTGGCGACATTCCCCACCCCTGCTGCAGCAGGTGGGGTGTTGCATTCCGGAGGCAGCGCTGGGGGTCACAGACAGGCGCACTGAGCCTGTCGTGGTGCAGAGTTCCCCGGCTCACCGGACACCAGCTCCATGACGATGAAGACAGGCTGTTTGTGGGCACAGACGCCAATAATCCGTACGATGTTCGGGTGGCTGTAGCGCCTCACGAGCCTGGGAAACAGGAAGGAGCAGAGGGATGAGCCACGGAGCTGCCACGGTGGGACTGTGGCCTGTTGATCACATTGCTGGCTGACCTGGCTTCCATGAGGAACTTGTGCTTGGTCTCCGGGGCCAGGTGCTCCCTGCAGGTTTTCACAGCCACCGGGGTGTTGTCGTACGACAGGCGGCCGCTGTACACATCCCCGAAATTACCCTGAGCATGGAGAAAGGGGAGGCGGGGAAGAGGAAGACAGAGACAATCAGGCAGCAGAACAAGACCTGTGCTGCAAAAGGGAAATCAGGTCCAGTGTCGCCCTGGAGCAGTGGTTTTCAAACTTTTTTTTCTGGGCACCCAATTGAAGAAAATTGTGGATGCTTGAGACCTAGCAGGGATAATGGCTTTGGGGTGCAGGAGAGGATGTAGGGCTGGGACGAGGGCTTCCTGGAGTAGGAGGGTCTCTGGGCTGAGGTAGGGGTGCAGGACAGGGTCAGGGATGGTGATGAGGTGGAGCTGTGGATGAGGGATTTAGTGTGCAGGAGACTCCCGGTTTGGAGGGGTTCTGGGCTGAGGCAGGGAGCTGGGGCACAGGCTAGCCTCCCATGGCTTCTGGTCAGCAGAGGTGCAAAGGCAGGTTTGGGCACCTTGGAGCACACTGTGCCCCAGAAGCGGCCAGCAACAGGCCCGGCTCTTAGGCAGAGGCATGCAAGCAGCTACACACGGCTCTCCCCTGCAGGCACTGACCCTCCCCAGTTCCCATTGGCTGGTGTCTGGGCAATGGGAGGGTGGAGCCGGTGCTCAGGGCAGGGGCAGTTTGGGGAGCCCCGTACGCGTGCTGCCTAGCAGCCAGACCGCTGGGGGCCGCTTCCGGGGTTCCTGGGTGCTGCGCGAGGTGACCCAGTGAGGTCACGGCCCGCTCTTTGAAAGCCTCTGCCAGAGAGAGAGAGCACAGTGTGTGCGCATCCGCATGCTGCAGCCATGCTCAGAGCAAAGGGGCAGCTGCCTCCACCCACCAACAGTGTGCTTCGAAACTGAAAGGGGCTGCACACCCCACTCCTCCCACCTCTGGTCAAAAATAGGTCAGGGTTCCAGCCTGCAAACTGACGTCTGGGGCGTTTTCTATCTGCCCGGGCCGCCCTGCTGCACCGACCTCCTGCCAAGCTGCCCTGGCTGGGTAGGATTCCACTCTAGGGATGAGAGGAGAGTTTGGCTCATTTAGTCCTTCTGCTCTATGCAGGTTCCTAGACACAGCCCATCACCATGGTATCTGGACCCTTCTTGGTTTCTCTTTTGAGATTGCAAGGACCACAGTACACCCACATCGTGACCCTCGTACGCCCACATCTTGAAGACTGCGTGCAGATGTGATCGCCTCATGTCAGAAAAGGTATCTTGGCATTGGAAAAAGTTCAGAAAAGGGCAACCCAAATGATGAGAGGTTTGGAACGGGTCCCATATGAAGATAGATGAATAAGACTGGGACTTTTTAGCTTGGAAAAGAGGAGACTAAGGGTGGACAGGATAGAGATCTATAAAATCATGACTGCCGTGGAGAAAGTAAGGAAGGAAATGTTATTTACTTGTTCCCATAACGCAAGAACTAGGGGTCACCAAATGAAATTAATAGGTAGCAGATTTAAAGCAAACAAAAGGAAGTTTTTCTTCACGCAGCGCACAACCTGTGGAACTCCTTGCCAGAAGATGTTGTGAAGGCCAGGACTTCAACAGGGTTCAAAAAAGATCAGGGATGGTGTCCCCAGCCTCTGTTTGTCTGAAGCGGGGAATGGGCGACAGGGGAGGCGATTCCTGTTCTGTTCGTTCCCTCTGGGGCATCGGGCATTGGCCACTGTTGGCAGACAGGATACTGGGCTTCATGGACCTTTGGTCTGACCTAGTGTGGCCGTTCTTATGTTCTTAAGTGAAGCAAGGCTCACAGCACCCGTGTGGGGTTTTGTGCTGGGGACCCCTGTCCTGCAGACGTCACCCTGAGACCCGTCAGCTCATTCCACAGAGTCCTCTGAGCTCCAAATGACGTCAGGGCTGCCCCTGAGAAGCACATAAGAAATCCTACAGCTGAGTGGCTGTGTGTCCTAGCGGCTAGAGCACGAGACTAGGAGTTGGGGGACCAGGGTGCTATTCCAAACTCTGCCACTAGGGTGACCGTGAGCAAGTCACAGCCCCACTCTGTGCCTCAGTTTCCCCACCTGCAAAATGGGGCTAATGATTCCCTGCCTTCTGGGCCAAGTGCTTGTAATGAACAGTGTTGGGTAGGAACGAGGGGTGAGGATGTATCATGCAGATGTGCCAGGTTTAGTTGCCGAGGGTGACGGCCCAACCAGGGGCGTGGCATCACAGAACTTTCCCATCATTCCCTTAGCAAGGAGTATTACTCCACTCCCCCCCCACTCCCAGCCCCACCACCCTCTTCACAGCTCAGGGAACTTTTTCCAGGGGCGGCTCACCCAGCAGCAGGCAACCATCAGATCCATATTTTATAACATAGGACAAAGGAGGGACGGCAGCTGCCGTATGAAATATTCACGTTACCCTGTGGTGAGTGTCGAGGCCGCACTGCCGGGGGCGTAGCTAATAAAAGGGGCTTGGAAGCGAAGGCCCAAGGCAGATATCGGCTCAATAGAGACACGTAACTTTTAAAGGGATCCACATGTTGCAAGACACAGCAGAGGCGACTAGAAGAGGCACATTGATAGTCCCCTCGAGCTCACAGAAATGTAGGTCTGGGAGGGACCTTGAAAGATCATCCAGTCCAGCCCCTGAACCGAGGCAGGACTAAATATTCTCCAGACCAGCCCAGACAAGCATGTCCAACCTGCTCTTAAAAAATCTCCCATGATGGAGTTTCCACAACCCCCTCTAGGCAATTGATTTCGTGCCTTTGTTGAATTTCTCCTTTGCTGCAGCATGGGGTGAGATGCACACACTGTGCTCTCCCCAGGGTGTGCTAGTGGCACAGAGAAGGGGAGATCCAAGCAACATGGCCCATGTAGGAGCAGCACCCCCTGCTGTCCTGCCTGTCAGGTCGCTACCCTGACAAATGTGCCCATGATTACCAGCAGGCTCCCTGCATGGAGCCAGTTCGCTCCAGTACATGGTTAACAGCCGAGAACAGAATCACTTACGCTGCCCAGCAGCTCCCCCAGCACCACGTCATCATGGCTCAGGTCCCATTTCGCCTAGAAAAGAACAAGGCTCCAGACAATATGAGCGGGAGACAATAGCATTGAGAGAGTGCGTGGGGGGAGGGGCTGATCCTGCTCAGGGCAAAGTCCCCTTGAGGATGGGGGAGAAAATCAGCCCCACGGGGCAGTAGGGTATGAGGAGGATTGGAGCAAAGACAGAGACGCAGGGCCTGAGTCTTGGGTCAGCCCAACATTTTCCATCCAAACCATTTTTCACACCCACTCTTGTAAGTTTCCTGGTGGGGACCCCGCGTCGGCTAAGTGGGGGCAGAGTTAAGGTTAATCCCTTGTGACTGCCCCTCTCCTCGGCCCCGTTCCCCACTGCCAGCCCCTACTGGATCTCTCTGCGTCCGCGCCATCGCCCGTCCCACGCAGCAACACAGCTGGCTTACCTTGGGGACTGGGTTCCGAAGGAGGAAGGGGCACTTTGCGGTGAGCTCCTGGCGTGACTGCAGGTGCTGGTGGATGAGCGAGGGGATGGTGGACGCGCCTACCCCACCGGGCTCCAACTGGTACCTGCCCTGCAGAAAAGACCAGATCAATACAATGTGGGGGGAGGGGAGGTAAATCAGCTGATTGGCACAGACTCTGCCACTGCTGCTCATAGACAAGGAGCATGCAGCAGCCAGGTTGGAGGGGTCACCCTCAGGGGGCCCCAAATTCTAAAAACCATGGGAATCAACTGCCATGAGGGTGTGCTAGAGAGCACACTGCCCTCTGCTGGATGGAATCAGAACTGGATTGTGTGTGTTAGAGGCCTAGACAGCACCCTGCCAGTGGGGATTCTCCCATAGCAGGGGGAAGTATTTCTGAACCAGGGCACTTCAAATTCTAGCCGCTGTGCACTTCTCAGCAACCATGCTACACAGCTGTAGTGAAGTCCCAGGTGGCTGCTGATTTGTTACACTGATGTTGTGACATCAGCAGTCACATGAGACCGGCCAGCACTTTGCTCTGCATTCTAAAGATTTGGAGGCTGATTCTCATTTATACCAAGGCCCAGGTGCAGAGCGTGAGCAGCACGAAGGGCAGGTGAATCAGCACTGCCATTTTATGACTGGGGAAACCGAGGCACAAAGCGAGCTAGTGACTCGCCCTCCGCTCTCAGCTGGAAATAGAAGCCAGCTCGGGTGCTCCTTGGCACAAAGTCCAGCCAGTGGCCACTGGAGGGACGGCCAGAGAGATAAGCTAAGCTTGAGCTGGAAAGATCAATTCTCCGACACGAGCAACCGTGAGGACATCCCCTCCCACCAGGCTTCCCACGTGACCTGGTCGCCTGGCCTCGCTGGCCAATCAGCAACTGGCTGTAGCCCCAGGCTTGACGTGATTAACCCTTCGGTGGGTTCAGCGCCACTCCCCTGCCCAGAATGCTAGTGGAAGAGACCTCAGGAGTCATTGAGTCCAGCCTCCTGCCCAAAGCAAGACCAACCCAACTCAATCATCCCAGCCCGGAGAGGCTTTGTCAAGCCGGGATTTAAAACCCTCTAGGGATAGAGATTCTACCCCCTCCCTAGGGAACCCATCCCAGTGCTTCGCCACCCTCCAAGGGAGATAGCTTTGCCTAATATCCAACCTAGCCCTCCCCCACTGCAATGTGAGACTATGGCTCCTTGTTCTGCCATCCGTCACCACTGACACCAGCCTCCCGCCATCCTCTTGGAACCCCCTTCAGGGAGTTGGAGGCTGCTCTCAAATCCCCCCTCACTCTTCTCTTCCTCCCACTAAATAAGCCCAAACCCCCCAGCCTCTCCTCATAGGTCACGTGCTCCAGCATCCTCATATTTTGTTTGCCCTCCGCTGGACTCTCTCCAATGCATCCACATCCGTTCTGGAACGGGGGCCCCAGAATTGGACGCAATACTCAGCTGTGGCCTCCCCAGTGCCGAATAAAGGGGAATAATCACTTCTCTAGATCTGCTGGCAATGCTCCTCCTAATGCCCCCCAATGTGCCATTGGCCTTCTTGGCTCCAAGGGCTCCTTACCTTCCAGCACTGGATGATGAAATGCCTGCACTGCCCTCCTGCCAGCGCGGACAGGACATGCGCGCCGGGCCTCCCCTGGCTCTCGCGGACCAAGAAATCCCCCTCGCTGGTCAACAACGCCTGGGCCTCCTGCCTGGGGAGTGCGCCGTGGTACCAGTCCTGTTGGCACAGGGGCCGCTGGGCTGCTGGCACCAGGGGCACGGGAGGGGGCAGCTTGGGGGGGTGAGAGAAGAGGGGAGATATTAGGGTCAGGTGCTCATAGGGCACCCATCGAGCCAAGCCTTTTAAGAACTCGGTGGGGTTCCTGCCTGGGACAGAGGTTGGGTGGCAGCCCTGGAGATGGCAGATGGGGGGCAGCTGCAGCACAGCAAAGCAACCCCTCCCACATCATGTGCTGCGCCCTGCCCACATGCTGCCTCAGTTTCTCCTTCCTGGCAGGATGCTCCATCGCCCCCATCCAGATGGCCAGGTCCTTTGGGAGGTGGGTGCTAGTTCACGAAGGGGTCTGAGACCCGCCAAACTCAGCTTGCACGGTGGCTACAGCACAGGGGGTAACTTTCCATCCCTGCTGCTCCATGCTGAATTTGGAGCAGCAGCTATTCCCTCTGGTCACTGCAATGTCTAGATGCTGCCTCGAGACATGGGGACCCAGCCCCGGGATTGAACCGGTGACCTGCAGAACACAAGTCGCTATCGCTCAATCTGCCAAGCTCCGTAAGGGGCTCTGTAACAGAGTCCCAGCCTCTGCGGATCAGGGAGAAGCAACAGACGGCGAGCCGGGGGTCACACTAGCAGCCAAGCCCCCACCCCTGTTGGCTCACTTATGAGCTCCCATGGAGTTTGTAAGAGACACGCTTCTCTGCAGCCTGCCTCTCCCTTTCTCTGCCTGGCTGCACAGTACCTGGATGGGTCTCACGGGGCGCAGCCTGTCGTGACTGCTGCTCCACGTGTATTTCTGGCACGAGGGACAGCTCATCCCTCCTTGCAGGCAGCCCTGGGCACCGGGAGGCCCCATAACCCAGCACGGGAACCTGCTCCCAGGCCACCCTCGGGGAGGGGGGGAGACAATGGGGCATTGTGACATCAGCAGTCACATGAGACCCGACAGACCCTGGGAGGAGGGTATATGCTGGTAGAGGCAGGCTCAGAGCAACCCCAGAATGAGGCTGGCTCGGGTGTTTAAAACCAGGCTGGAAAACAACATGGGGGAGAAAACAGAGGCTGCCCCACAAAGCGCTGGCCGGGGGGGAGGGGTCTTAAAGGAAGCCAAGTCGGCATCTGGTATTGAACAGAGCCCGTTGGAGGGGGCAGACTCAGGTGGACCCCATTCCGTAGCGCGCACGGCCAAAGTGGTCACAGGGCGCAGACCCTTGCGTTGAAGGGGCACAGGGTTAATGTACAAGTCCATTCATTGAAAACAACAGGGCACCCTGTCCACTGCTCTGGCCCCACCCGGGGACCTGAGCGTGAGTTTCAAGGCAATTTGTGCCCTACTGCTCTGGCCCCACCCAGGAACCTGAGCGTGAGTTTCAAGGCAATTTGTGCCCATTTCACACTGCCAGAGCCGTGGGGAAAGTCCTTACGTCCCAACATGAATTGGAACCAACTGGTGCTGTTACCAGACCCCCCCGAAATGGAGAGACCCAAACTGCTTCACCGTCCACATACCGCCTGCTGAGGTATTTGCCCTTCTCTTAGCTCGGTTCCTTCCCTGACCTTTTCTGGCCACTTGCCCTTTGTTTGGCTGGAGCTCTGCAGGGCCAGGGACTGTCTCTCCGGCCTGTGGTCCATACAGCCCCCAGCGCAGTCAGGCGCTCGCATCACCTACCCACTAAGAGCTTGCTCTTGGAACGAGGCTCCAGCCCCATAACCAAAGTCTGAGGGTCGAATGCAGCTGCTGCTGGGGAGTAAAGAGGATGTAGCTCAACCCGGATTTAAACGCCTGGAAAACACAGGATGCTCCAGGGCTGGGGGCTTGCAGGGACCGGCCCTTGCAAGCCCTGGAGTTTGCTGCAGAACGCCTGCCTCCCAGCCTGTAGCTGACCCATGTGTGGTTGTGCCACTGGATGGGACGAAGCGCCATGCAGGGGTAGCCCCGGTCACCAAAGCAAACCACTGCAATCCCAGGCGAGCTGGTCCTTTGTGGAGTCCACCAGGCAGCTGGCGCCTCCTGGGATGGCAGAGCCCTGACCACAGCTGTGACACTAGCACCAGCCAACCAATAGGTTGCTCTGGGTCCAGCATCCTCCCTGCCCTCCCCCACCCCAAGCAGATTAGTGCAGGCCCCAGCTGGGAGATGCTGGCTTTTGCCTTGGCACAGTCCCAGGCAGGGCTGTAAAGCGGTACCTATGCAGGGCACCTGTGGTGACAAAACAGTGAGAGCATTTGCACTGCAATGCGACTTTCGTCAGGAAAAACACCCGGTTTTGGCAACAAAAATTTCCACCCTATGTGATGACTTTTGTCTTTCCCCCTCCCCTTAATTGTTAACAAAGAGCCAGTGTGGACTTTGCTGTTTGTTTTGTCCAGAGAACTGGTTTCTGCCAGTATCCCACAATGCCTGGCCTGCCGGCTCTGCTCAGTGTTGTGTGATCTCTGCTGCCCTGCAGGCATGCGCCCCTCCTTTTTCAAGGCTCTGGCAAGTATCTGACAGCTGAGGGAGCTGCTCCATTAGGGAACAAAGAACAAACCATTGGAATGCTCCTGTTTTGCCCTGCACTAGGACCACAGCCGCAGGACAGCTGCGGCAGGGGGAGGGCTGGAAGATCCTGCTGTGCTGCTTTGACATGCCTCAGCATGGAGAGCTCACAGAGCTACCACAGAATCCCAAGTAGCGCAGGGATCAGCTCTGCCTTCCCACCCCGCTGCACTTTGGGATGCTTATTGGTGATGCACATGGCTTGGCTTTGCCAGCAGGGTGCTAGAAACGTGGCCATGAAATGGAGACAATGGGAGGCAGAAAAAGCGGTTTGATTGGTTTTCACTTTGGGCCACTTTTGCATGTCGACAGCACTTTTGCCGCCCTCCCACTGGACACACAGCCGGACATGTTAGCCTGTCCCAGAGAAGTTACGGGCCAGGCGTTGAGCATCCGCTGAGCATAGGCCAGGCGAGGGGTTCACCGTGGGCACTTCTGGCTTTAAAAAAGGTCTATGGAAAAATCCTTCGGTGCAGCAGCCCCTGCCACTTCCCCCCGGGAAGTCAATCTGAAACACCTTTTATTCAATGCAAACCTTCTGCAGGGGGGACTTTTCTTACCTAAATCCCCTCTTCATCCCCCATTACTGTTCCAGCCTTGTCAGCTGGACTCTAGAGACCAGGTCTGCTCCCCTGCCACCCGATCGCTCGCACAGATGCCAAGACTGGCCGATTGTTGTTCAGCCCAAGGCAGAATGGTGTAAAGGGAACAGACTCAGGCTGGAGAGCGAGAAGGATGGGGAGAGGGGGGGCGCAGGAAGGTAGCCTGCATTGGCAAGCCCAGAGTTGGCTGGTGCTCTCAGCTGCTTCGCAGGCACCGTGGCAGCAACTGCAAGGACCTGGGTCGGCTTTTCCAGACTACACACATCTTGTTATCCCTGGCAATGTGTCTTAACAGCAAAGGCTGGCCATGTGCACTGGGGTCAGCACTGCCCACAAAGGGAGAGCGCCCCCTACTGCTCCTTGCAGCACAGCGCCCCCTAGTGCCACACAGGCCTCGCACTGGCTCTCCCCCTGCAGCACAGCACCCCCTAGTGCCACAATGGACTCAGCACTGACTCACTGTCTGCAACACAGCACTAGAGTGAGACACTGGGGTCAGCATTGACCCAGAGTGTACGGTGCCCCATTTTTATCCCCACCCCCCGCAAGCGTGCACACACACACTGTGCCCTACAGCAGACCTTCTGGCACTGCACTGAAGTCAGCATGCACCCCTACTGAGCCGCTGACAAACCTCATGCCTCGTGCTTACTAAACACAGCAACAATTGCAAAGCACGCGGCCAGTTTCCGTCTGCCAATGATTTCCTTCTTTTTGCAGGGTGCTAGCTGACAACCCCTCCAGGCTCTTGAATCTTGTAAGAGATCAGGATGCCAGTGAGAGATTCAGGAGAGATTTGTCTGGAGTAGAGCGCTCTGAGTTGAGTAAATCCAGCACACACACACACACACACACCATGGGGGTTGATTTTTTAATACAGTTAAATCAACTGGACACAATAAACCCTTTTTTTGGCATTAATTAAAAAAATCCCTCCCTTGCAGCACCACGGCTGGCTAATGGTTTCTATTAATAGGTTTTATTGACCAGCAGGTGTTTTAAAAAATAAGAAGTTCTGTGGTCAGACTCTTTAAAAACCCCAACCGTCCAGGACTGTTACGGCA